GAGAAAACAGTATACATGTACAATCATATTACTTTAAAATCTAACACCCCTCGTCAAGCCTAATATACTTCCCTCCCTCCCATCCTCCCCCCCAACCCCCCTCAACCTTCCCTCCCCTGACTTCCCAGAACCCATACAAGGTATAAATCTTTAACAAAAACAGTCTAAAATATATTTGAAAAAAGGAGTAGGAAATTGATAACATCTTTAAATTGAACTTAGCTCCTCCTTGCTAAACTAACTTTAAACAATTTACATTATTCCTGATCTTAATCATAAGCTATCTGAAATTTCTTAGATCCATATTCAGGGTTGCTTTTGAAGTCAAAGGTTTCTCCCACTTGGTTCTAGACTTTGCTCTTTGTGCTATTAGATTTGTGCCTGCTGATCCTGTTGTACAAAACCTACTCTGTAAATAGAATTATTAGCAGAATGTGCAGAATAGCTTTGGAAGATGAGCAAATGCCTCTGTATCCTTCAATGGAAAAGTATTAGTTTTAGAAATGCCTGGTGTAAATCCTTAAGTTGTGACTCCCAGTGGCCGTATAAACTGCAGGCAATGGATTATGTGATATGTCTTGGATGGCTATTAGACATTAAACAGATTCAGCTACTTAAATTAAGTCCTCTGATAGTCTCCAAGCAATAAAGTAATAATGCAGATCTCTGGTGTCCAATTAGTGAATTTTAACTGACCTTCCTCACTGATCCCAATGCCAGTCTTTTATGTGGATCGCTTTTTCCCTTCATCTCAACCCAACATCCCACGAGATAGGCAGGCAGGAGATAGATAGACAGAACCCCAGAGTTTTATATTTTTTAAATGATTCCAATGATATTTTGATTTTGTGTTTGAAGACAATGTTGGGACAAACTACTTTAAGCCCAATTTTGTTCCGTCCTTTCCAAGTAAGAGTCTTAACTGATTGAGCCCTGACTTCATTTAACTTAGCATCCCCAATACTACATTGTAGAATGGGCAAAAGTTAATCTTTAGTTTGCAAACATATTTTTCCTATTTTACTTTCTTCTCAGCACACCTTCTAAGTTGGCTCCTGCTGTTCTGTTTGCATGTATCATCTAAAGGAGAGTACTCTTTTCATTAAACTGTTCTTTTACTCACTTGCATATTCATGCCAGTTCCGTTCATTAAAGGCTTTAATTAATTTGTATGATTAATTGGCAGAGATTTTTAACAGTTTGTCAGAACTAATTTCAGCCTGCTACTATACCATTTTCTTCTGTGCTGGAGTCTATAACTTTAATTGTTACTGATGGTGATAGCTGACTGAAACTATTCTTATAGGCATTTTTGTAAAAGCAATTCCTTTATTTTTTCCATCAGTTGCAGCTTGTATTACCATAGCAACAATGGCAATGAGTTGTTAATTAAATATTTTAATGAATTCATATATGTTGCTTTACTGGTTTCTTGCCCCCCCTTTCCTTAATTTCACCTGAACAAAAATGTCCAGAAGGCCCAAAGTAATATTTCCCATTTCTTCCACAACCTATGCTCCTTTACCTTTTCCAGATTTATTTATTTATTTATTTACATACATACACACACACACACACACAATTTAAAGCTTATATGTGCTAGTGTTTAGCATAATTTTTCAGCAGAGTATGGGAAAGTAAGTGTTCTATTTAAAAATATATGCTTTCAACAGCTTATCTGGGTCATCCATGGTCTTCAAAGAACAGCATGAAAAAAGAAGAAGGAAAAGATTGTTGAACTAATAGAACATTGTTAAAGCAGGAGTCCAAGATTGGAGAGAATACTCCTAATATTGTTGGGTTTTGGTTTCTGGGAATAAATGAGGTTTTAATTCTGGAAAAAACACACCTTGGAAAGAATAATTACATTTATCAATATCAGTGGCTACGGCACCGTCTAGTAGGATCAAGGACAACACTATAGGAACCACATAGTTCTTACAAATAATAGAGACACTAATTGAAAGGGAAGGGAGATAGGCTCTGTTTTCCTAGCTGTGAAGATATTACAATTGGAGCATTGCAAAAATAGGAGTTTGGCCAATAACATAAATCTTGGGAAAGGACTTGTTAAGCAGCTTACAACTGTTCATTATTCATTTTTTTAAGTTTAGGGGGGAAATATTGCAAACTGTAAAATTGGCTTTTTGAAACTAAATAAGAGTTAGTTGTTCTTCCTTTGCATGATTTCATGATCTGTTGGCCACATCGTAGTTTTGCTTATGAAGTGATTGCTGTTGCAAGGAGATTATCTTTCTTAATTCATTTTTGTCTTTTAGTTTATTAACTCTGTTTGTTGGCGTGCTGCCCTCACATTTTATCCCCAGTACCAACTTACCAATTGCTTTTTGCCCTCATTGGACTCCTTTTAATTCAATAAATTGGGGATTTTTCTGCCTTAATAACAGAACTTCAGATACGTTATGTGTAAAAAGGAAAGAGTCAGAAGGACAGTTCAAAAGAAAAATACATAAGGTGCATACAGTCACACTATTCCAGAGTAAGCAAAGTACAGAAAGAGAGTAAGAGCTTGCAAGTAAAATAAATTAAAGGTGTGACTTACAGTAAAAGGAAAGAAAAGGAAATATGACTCAACCTAATTTTAAATCAACAGAAGCTACTGTACCAATCCTTATCTTTCTGCCCTTCTTTAGTTCTACCATATCCATGTTGTACAGATTTCATTTTCTGCTTTAAGTTTCTCTTTTTGAGGTTCTCATCAACTCCATCCTACCATGACCTTTTCGACTTTCCCCTTCCTATATCAGCAGTTAATAAAATAGTCTTCCTTCATGTATTTCTTTGTATAAGATAAATCTTTTATATTTCTGAAAAAGCAATTTCAAGAGTTGACCTAAGCAATACCATTGATAGTTAATCACAAAAATACCATATGTCATAAAAGTTAATGCATTAAAATATTTGGTAAAATGATACAATGAGAAATTTAAAATATATAGGTAATCCTGAAGTAATGATAGCCGTTGGGACCAGAATTGCTATTGTTAAGAGATATGGTCATAAATTGTGTTGTCACATGTTCACATAATGACTGTAATTCTGCAGTTCCATCATTAACTGTGAATCCCTGGGTCATTAAGTGATGGTGTTACATGATCATGATCTCCTGGTGACTTCCGCATTGATTTTTCTTGTTGGTGAACGCTAATAACAACATGAACATTACAAAAAAATAAAAAAAGAACTTCCAAAAACCAATTTGTGGCACCCTAAAACAACATTTCTCAATACATTAACAATCCTCTTTGCTGGGCTCTGTCCTCATACTAATCCAATGTTTGGTGGAAGAGCCACCTGTTAAAAATCTTTTGGACCTGGCACAGTTGGCAAATATTTTCAGGGAGAAGAGACCCTACAAATAACCTGCCTCTGCCATTCAGGTTTTAAAAGGTGAAAACTACCATGTGGAATCACACCAGGAAAAGAAAACTGGAAGAAGCCAGGGTGCTGGTGCAGCAGTGGTATAATATTGAGAAATTGGATACTTGAAACTTTGCACACCGCTGCATTCTGGGCCAGTTGTAATTTCTGGATGCTCTTCGGGGTGGGGGGGCTTGCACAGTATGTTGTCGTCATCATCCAAATAGGAAGTGACTATGATGAGTGATGGTCAGAAGCTTCTGTGCAAAGCCTTCCCCCCCCCCCAACCAAATAGGGGTCATAAGTTTAGGATAACTCCAAGCCTAAAGGTTCTGGAAAAATGCACAGAATCAAAGATGATGCCTCTCTAGATTGTGGAGTGAGAAACTAAAACACCAGTTACTTTTGTCTTTCTAGGGTTGAGTCAGAACTGGATTCCTCCTCAACCAGATCCCCACATCTTCCGGGTCAATAGCAATAAAGATCTGTGTACTATAGGAGTGACCTATTTAAAATTTCTCTAGATAACTGAGTTTGGACAAGTCTTAGGCACTTCTATAGAATCTGTATATCTAGAGTCCAAATTCAAGCACAGTCAAATAATGTTATCAAACAAATGCCAGCAATATTCTGCATAGGGACCCTATAAAGATTCCCCCTGCCCCTCCTTATCAAAAGAGACCTAGTCACTTGAAATGAGGCCACCAGCTGGCTTTCGGTATATGCATTAAGAGTGAAGAAATGAGATCACTTCATCACTCTTATCGCCACAAGATAAGCCCTAATAAATGCTCTTACCGCTGCTTAGACAGCTCCACTCTTCATCTTGTGTCATCTGTCTCCTCGATGGTCCCTCCCTTCACATCCATACTTGTTTTAATGTTGAAACAGACTGGATTTCAGTGGGTTTATAGGTATTTAGGATGTGTTCAGAAAAGCTCCCAACTATTCAAGGATCTCAAATATTTGATTTGATTTATTATTGGTCTGGCTTTTGAATTGTTTTTGAATAAACCATATGTAGGTTTTGATTATGGAGAATTCAGTAACTGTCAATTGATTTTCTCTAACAGCAATGAGAAACGACGCAGGGAGCAAGAGAACAAATACTTAGAAGAGCTGGCAGAGCTGCTTTCAGCCAATATTGGAGAGATTGACAGCCTGAGTGTTAAACCAGACAAATGCAAGATTCTAAAAAAAACGGTTGATCAGATTCAGCAGATGAAAAGACTCGAACAAGGTAGACCTGCAAAATATTTTGTCTTTTTTTGTCGTTCGTTCCTTGTTTCTTGAATTTGTAATGCAATGGTATATAAACTATGGGATGGGATCTTCTTGAGGAAGCTCAGGAGAACTTGAAGAATGTTCACAAGGGTAGAATAGAATCCTATCAGTCATCCACTGCTAAAGCCCAATTGATCAAAATTCAAGTTTTGCATAAGATTATCTTCTTGGTTCACACTGGATGAACTGGGAAAACAAGATCTTCACCGTTCCACAACGGCAACCTGATTTTCAATAAGGGATTTCAGGTAAACCCCTGCTGTGTTCTGATAATAACATTCACTTTATGCACCTTGTAAGGAAGAAGCGAAAGTTATTTTTTAAAGTTACTGCAAGGTTAATATCACTTCCCAAATATAATAACACACAATTGCAAATAGTAACACCATCCCTAACCCTTACAGATGGAACAACAAATTTTGGACGTTCGCTAAGGGTAGTAGAAAGCAAAACAAGTTCAATACATTTGAGGGGCATTAAGCTGTAGAACCAAAAGACAAGCTGCATATTATGTGCAACTCCATCTAGTGAAGGATGTACTGTGCATTTTTTTCCTGTAAATTAGCAAACAGCTTTGGGAAGGATTGAAATGTAGCAGAAGACCTGGCTGGAGAAATGGATACTTAATGTTTGCATTGTTCCTTTTCCATCTTGATTTTCTCTTTATAACATCCTAATTCTGGGATCCTGCAAAGTTAATGTGGAATCATTTGGGATATATGGATTTGAGCAAGAAATTGACAAGCAGAGAAACATTATGCACCTTCATTGTATTTCCTACTGTTCTGATACTCGTAATACTCTTTCAAAGCTTTTTACAAAAACAATCCCCAGTGCATTTTTGAAGCAGATTTCCCCATATCACTCACAATGTTTATTTCTTGCCTGAGAAGCCAGTGCATACAATCAGTTTTCTTCATTGAACTAAAATGTACTATTTCAAAAAAAAGTCAGTACTATTCCCCTCACTCCCCAACGTATCTTATATAGACGGTGTGTATGTGATTGCTGGGGACATCAGGGGAGAATTAGTACATTAGAGTCAATGCTCAACAATTTCTCCACTGATCCTATACCTTCCCAGCTGCTTCGGAGGCAGGGACCATTTGTAATAGGAGCCCGTGTGCAAAGCAAGGATACATTCAATTTTGCTGTCTTGTCACTTCCTACTCATACTTCCTCTATCCTTGCAGTCACTTTACTTTTGTTTGGCAAGCTAAAACATAGTTGTAGTTCTATTAGGCATATAAGAGCAGCTGATTAACAGGCATTACAAGCTGTAGACTGAAAATCCTTGGTCATTAACCATTAAAATTTTGCTTTATCAGATCTGTTTATCGCAAAAAGAGGCACAATAATTTTATATGCAAAAAAATTCTTAAGAATCACTAGCCAAGGAATTCCAGTAATGTTACAGGGCCAGTTCTATGCCATTGACTAATATTCATTCCAGTACTCAGGATAAAGAATGCAGATTTCTGTTTATGCTGCAAACAGACTTCTGAAAAGAAGGTTTTGAGATACCTATTTTAATGTGATGTACTGTCTGATGTACTTCTGCCAAGCTAGCAGTTCGAAACATGTAAAAATGCAAGTAGAAAAAGAGGGACCACCTTTGGTGGGAAGGTAACAGCGTTCCATGCACCTTCAGTGTTTAGTCATGTTGGCCACATGACCATGGAGATATCTTTGGACAGCGCTGTCTCTTCAGTTTGAAAAGGAGATGAGCATCGCCCCCTAGAGTCGGGAATCACTAGCACATATGTGTGAGGGGAACCTTTACCTTTACCTTACTGTCTGAAAAACTACAAAAACATTTTGTTTGGTAAAGACTTGGATTTTAGTTTTAGGATTGGAATTACAAAATTATACATGTTTCTATAATGCTTGCAGTTAGATGACACCAGAATCTTTTAAGGGAAGGAAATTGGGGTAAGAGGCAGATATGGCTATTTGAGGATTTGTAATTGCTTCAGAGAGCTGCTAACCATATCAGGCAACATTATACAATATACTTGTTTTCTTCAGTTGCTGTCTGGATATGTCTAATCCAATATAATGGAGGTTTCTTGTATAGGAAATAATATGCCTGAATTACCTTTCATTCAAGTCTGGATGCTGAAAATTATTGTGTGAGCTTCCGATTGTAACGTTTCTACAGTGTTATAATTAACTTTTTTTTGTTGAATTTTTAAATGAACAATTCCTTTATTTTACTTCAATTTCATTCAAAGTAACATTTTTAAAAAAAATTGTGAGTATTACTTAAAGCTATATCTTTAGGGCAGGAGGTGGGATGGAAACATATACCTGACAATTTACCATGCCTCATATCTGGTCACAAGTGCATAATGATATCATGTGTATATCATAATTCTGGCCTTGCTGCAAGAGCCCTGGTGGCGCAGTGGTGAGAATGCAGTATTGCAGGCTAATTCTGCCACAGCCAGGAGTTTGATCCTGACAGGCTCAAGGTTGACTCAGCCTTCCATCCTTCCGAGGTCAGTAAAATGAGGACCCAGATTTCGGGGCACAATATGCTGATGTTGTAAACCGCCCAGAGAGTGCTGTAAAGCACTATGGGGCAATATATGTCTTAAGTGCTGTTGCTATCCTTATTGCTATTGTATTATGGGTACTTGGCCCAAAGTATCCATTTATGCAGTCTTTCTACTTTCATGCATTTTAAAACTTTATCTGCTTAAATATGTAGGTGAATGTGTGTATGTGAATGCAAATATGTATATGACTTCGGTGGATTTCCATTTGGCTGCCAATGCACTAAACCTATCCCTTACTTGAAAGAATGAGCTACAATTAATGGCACAGTGAGAAATGCTGAGATGAGAATAAATCCTCACTACTTTCTGGAAGTCTGAATAATTTCTGGGAGAAAAAACATTTCTCCCATCATCTGAAAATTCAGCATTGCAACTTTGCTGCAAAAAAAAAAAGGTTGCTGAAATAATCAGACAAGTAATCAGCCATATATTACAGTATGCAGTAGAACCCAAATCTTATACTACAAAATCCATCCATTGAGTCATTCCAAAGTAAAATATTGTTGGGCATAATTATACATTGCTAAAATGCTACTTTAGGAGAACAGAAGCCAATAATAGATTTGGGGGGGGGGGTTAGAAATAACTAGATTTTCAGTTTGAATTTCTGTGCTCATACAATTCAAGAGAGAAGTTCTCTCATTTCTCTCACTGTAGCTAAATTGCTAGCAGCTGGGAGCATGAGAAATAGGGGCCCTGCCAAGGTCTATTCTGAAATCCCTTCATGCTTAGATGAGAGAAAGAGGCACTCCATGTTTCTCTCTAAATTGAATGCTTGCTTTGTAGCATTGGTAGCTAATTTGAAAGACAAAACATAGGGCGCATAATCTGTCAACTTGCCAAGGAGAAAAGACTCTGCTTTTCATCCCAAGCAAGTTTTCTTTACATCCAGAAGGGGGGGGGGGAGGAAAGGGAGGTCCTAACATTCTTGCCAAGGATATTTGTGATCTCTGCAGTCCATGTAGCCCATAATAAGCATGTTCACATGT